CAGGGATAGAAACAGGGCAAACAGTTGGAAACGAGAGTTCTCTAAACCTTACCTAGTATGGAAAGATTGAGATTCTTTTCTTTTTTTCTCCTCTTTTCTTTTTCTTTTTTTTTTTTTTTTTTTGAGAGTTTTTTGCTATAGGGTGCGTGTGCTCGCCAAAAGAGACAGAGAGAGACAGAGAGAGACAGAAAGCGAAAAATCACACCCCTGGGAGGATGGCCATGCCACAGTCCCTTCTCCATTCTCCTCTTGGGATCTCGGGCACACACGCACATGCGCCCAGTGTGAGTTTAAGCCACCGGGTCCGAGACTCGAACTGTGGTCAACTACATGGGAGCCATTACGCCAACTGCTTGTCCCGACTGGATTATTTCCTATGAACACAAAAGTAATGAAGACATGAAAAGAAAGGTGACCTGATCTGACTAGTCTTTAAGTTCACTCTTCTGCCAACTCCAAGCTACTGTAAATTCTAATTCTAGATATTCCTTTTGATTTTTTTTGTAGTTTCCATTTTCTATACTGTAATTCCCTACCTTCCTACTCACCATTTTCCTAGCTCTTCAAATTTATTTAATAAATTAAATGTCTGGAATATATGAGCTACCCAATATGAGATCCACATGTGACTATTGAGTGCTTGAATGTACCTATTACAGCTGAGTACATTTTTATTCTTTTTTTTTTTTTTTTTTTTAGGTTTTTTCCATAGGGCAAATGTGTTTTCCAGAGAGAGAAAGACAGAGACAGAGAGAGGGAAAGTGAGCTATCACTTCCTCCCCCGCCCCTCTGGAGGATAACCATGAGACAATTCCTTCTCCTCCATTCTCCTCCTGGGATTTTGGGAACATATATGTATGTACCCAGCGTGATTTTCAAGCCACCAGGTCCAGGACTCAAACTGCGGTCCACCATGTTTGAGTCCAGTGCCTTAACCATCATGCCACCTGCTGATCTCTCATATTTAATTTTTATTAATTTACACTTAAAGAGCCAGTTATGCCTGTTAGCTACCTGGACAGATCTATTGGACAACACAGACCCAGTGCCCACAATAAATCCCACATTTGCTGCTTCTGAGTCTCAGGTTGGATCCTAACTGACACAGGTAGCAGCTGGTAGCATGAGGATGAGCATGAGACAGACATCCCAGCATACTAGGAATGACAGGGCTGGAGGACAGAAGACCCTGGGTCCTGAGAGTCCCACCAGCCTGCAATCCCTGAACTTCTCAGGTGAGGAAAAATGTAGACCCTGTCTGAAAGGTGGACTATCAATGCGTCTTTTTTCTTGTAATGAAGTTATGTAATTCTTACCTAAAATACCACAGGACAGTGATGAGTTCTTAGAACTCAGTCTGGGAAAACTGTATTTCTACCTGAATAAAAATTGTAAAATAAAAACTTCGTCTTTTGAAAGAGATAAATAACATACATAGAACTATGAATAAGAATTAATGTTGGCTTTCTCCCCAAGCAGTTCCCTTCTCCTTCATGTTTGTTTATCTTTGCTTTCTCTTGAAGAACGACCTACTGTAAGTAACTTGCTTTCTGGAGTCCTTTGAGCTTAGAGGAGACCCGATCAGAGAAGATGAGGAGTAACCAAGTTTAGATACTAGATAAATGTTAGTAACATAGATAAATGCACACAGCGAACTTTGGGTTTTACGTAGTATATGCTAGTCAGGGTTCCCCAGGGAAACAGACCAATAGGATAGATAGATAGATAGTAGGTAGGTAGATAAAAAAGATAGCAAGATAGAAGAGGTATTTATTATAAAGTATTGGCTCACACATAACAAACTGAGAAGTCCAATGATCATCAGCCTGTAAGCGGGAGACTCAATAAAACTGATGCCACAGTTCATAGATCTGAGAGCTGACGAGCCACTACCAGTCTGGATCTCAAGGTCCGAGAAAGAGGACTGCCAAGGGA